TTCTTCGCCTAGATACTTATTATTAACGAAATTTTGAACTTACGATTGAGATATAAATCCATCAAGTTCTAATTCTTTTCACCTAATTTTAGGTTTGGGGTTGAGTTTTGTTACTGGTATTAAGTTGAGTGTATAAAAGTAAGGAAAATAATCATGAGGTTTTTCTTAACTTTTTTAATACATTGATATTTGTCGAATTAATGATTTAATGGATGTGTTACAAATCTTTCCTACCTTATCCGACTCACTTTTTATGCACTAAAAATTATGTTGATTTGTGCATAATTCAATTGGTCGGACATAATTCTTTTAGAGAGATGGAAAAAAAGGTTGGGCACAATTTGTTTTGGAAGGAAAAAAAAATTTTGTCGGACCTAACTTGCCTCTCTAATTGTAGAAGTTTGAATACTTGCATATGGTTTCGTTGAATCTTAAAAACTTTAGTATTTATAATCTAATAAATAGTTATGCAAAATTCAACCCAAAATCATTTATAGTTGTACATACTAGCACGAAGATTGTGATCGTTCCATTCGAACCAGTTTTTTTAGTCCAACAATTGTGAGGTGAGAAATTAAGCCATCCATTTTTAATGTAAATTCATTTTTGACTTTATAATTTTTCATTTATCTTTTATATAAACATATATAGTTATGAAAAATATGATTACATGAATAGTTAACTTTTTTTTTCCGTATATCGATTTTTAAAAATAGTATATTATCGAGAGGCTCGAATCCTTACTCTAAAAACACCTATATTTCCTATCTCATGAGGAAAAAAAAAATCATATTTCTATATATTTGAGATATCATCTAACATTAATATCTTAATCTCTCCTATCAAATTTTTTTAATCTCAATATTTTTCACATACATGTAAATATAAATTTAAAATAAATTTAGCAACCACATAAGTAATTAAGTGTAATTATACAAAATGGTACTTAATCTGTCAAATTTTTTCAAATTTACTTTCAATGTATTAGAAATTTTCAAAATTTACTAAAAAATGTCAGCATAAAACTAACGTGTCCTTGAATTATTGGTTGATCATCATATTTGGATAGATAGGTCCAGTAGCACATGTTCGCGAGTTCAAATATGTTAATAGAATAATAATTGAATTATACATCAATTTTTTTTAACAATTTTTAACGTACCTAACTACTTAATTGACAATATGTAACTTGAGAGTTGTCATCGCTGTGTATAGATTTGAACAATAAATGATAAAATTTCCTATTTTAAATAACATTTGTCCTCAAAATTTATGCTAATTTTCACCAAAGATTAAGCCATATAAATTTATCAATTTTAACATTTACTTGATTAAATAAAAAAATGACATATACTCTTGACGTGCCTAATTATGAATCAAATTCATGAATAAGAAAATTGAATCAGAGGAGTATATATCATTTACCGCAAAATAATTGTTACGAGAGGGAAAAAAAAAGAATAAAGATTATTGCGCATACAATTAGATCACAATTAAAAAATGATAAATAAGATGGATAAATTTACAATTATTATTTATCAAAACGCAAATTGACATCAAAGTGGCTGTAGTTTAGTGGTGAGAATTCCACGTTGTGGCCGTGGAGACCTGGGCTCGACTCCCAGCAGCCACATTAATTTCTTTTTCCTTCAATTTTATTAGGGCAATTTATTTATTTAAGTAATATTTGTCTCCCATCATTATTTTCCCGCCAAGACGACACTTCCTTCATTTATTTAATTAACCATACAAAAGTAATTAAGGATAATTATATAAATGGTCCTTAATCTTAAATTCTCAAATTCACTTAGAAATTCTCAATTAAATCAAGTTATACAAAAATTTACTAAAACTTGTCGACATCTAAAATTGATGTGTTGTTGAATTATTGTTTGATAATCATATTTGAATATGGTATGTTCGCATTTTTTAAATATATTAATACAATAATAGTTGAATGATACCTCAATTGTTTTTGTTAACAATTTTTAACGAGACTTTTACATAATTACTTTATTGACAACCTGTAATATATTGAGACTACAATTGAAGATTTTAAAATATTTAAAATCAAATTTATAATTGACTAAAATATAAGGGGTCGTGTCTATGATTAAGTATTATTAGAATCTAAATAATATTCCGTAATACTTTTAATTTTGCAACCTCGACGATATTTTCAATTTAGCCCCTTATTGTTGGTAAATGATAAGATCATCTTATAATAAGCTTACCTAGCATGCTCATCTAGTGAATTTGTATAAATATATAGGTGACTAATGTAAATCCAACTTGAGAGTTCTACTCCTCAGGTATAGATTTGAATAATAAAATATAAAACTTCCTCTCTTAAATAACATTTGTCATTCTCAAAATTTTTGCTAATTTTCACCAAATAATAAATATAAGTTTATCAATTTTATCATTTTTAAAATGTACGGGGAATACCTCAAAGAGAAAGGGTACCTAATAAAAGTCAAAGACGGGATCGAACCGTCATTTCAGGATTTCCATTGACCAAACTAAAAAATGACTTATACTCCTAACATGTCCTAATTATGAATCAAATTCGTGAATAAGAAAATTTAATGATTATGTTTATCTTTTTTGGTACAACACGTTGGGGTACGAGAATTTAAACCTAACGTGAAAGGGAGGAGTATACAGATGCTCATGTGACAATGAACTACTTATCCATTACACAAACATTGTTATGAAAAAGAAAAAGAGAAAAATAAAGACTTGCGCATACAATTAGATAACAGATAAAGAAGATGGCTAAATTTATTATTATGTATCAAAACAAAATTTGTCACCAAAGTGGCTGTAGTTTAGTGGTGAGAATTCCACGTTGTGGCCGTGGAGACCTGGGCTCGAATCCCAGCAGCCACACTAATTCTTTTTTCTAAACTTGTTTCCTTCAATTTTATTAGGGCAATTTATTTATTTAATTAAATATTTTTCTCCGATCCTTATTTTCCCGCCAAAACAACACTTCCTTTATCTTTTGCCGCCAAATCCTTCGCACTCTCATTCGCATCCCTGCAATCTCCATTTCCCTCTCTCTGCTTCTGCTTCTGATTCTGCGAGGGGTGAGCCATGAAAGATACCGGAAGTCTGGACTTCACCGCCGACAGAGGTAAGCAAAATCTATGGTTTCCGCCCATTTTGCCTGAAAATTGCATTTTAACACCAGTCGTAATTATTTTTTTCAGTTCTCGCGAAGGATTTCCTCTCAAACTTCGCCGATTCAAATGGTGAAGCGAAGTACTTAAGCATTCTGGTAATAATTCAACGTTGTTCATTCGCGTTTCTCTATTTCAACCATAAATTCATTTAGTTATTTAGTTTCAAAACCCTAAAATCGTGATTACTTCCTGTGATATGTACGTTTTCTTGTTGTCTGATGGTCTACGTTTGTTTCTTTAGACATTTTTTGTTGTGTTGTTTGATTTGATTTATTTTTCAGCAAGAGGTTGCAAATCGCAGAGTCCGTGCAATTCAAATCGACCTCGAGGATCTCTTTAATGTATGATTTTCTCACTCCCTACTCGTTTCGATTGTATCTATCTGTTTAGTTAAATAGCATGATTTTTATTTTTTTTATGCAATCGGATTTCAGTACAAGGACTTGGATGAGGATTTCCTCAGACGTATTACTGAAAACACCCGGCGGTATATTGGAATTTTTGCCGATGCTATTGATGAGCTCATGCCAGAGCCAACAGAGGCGTTTGTAGACGATGATCATGACATATTAATGACACAAAGGTCTGATGATGGACCGGATACTGTTGATAACCCAGATCCACGCCAAAGAATGCCTCCAGAAATCAAACGATACTTGTGAGCTCCTTGCAACGTCTCTTCCCTCAGAGTATACTGAAAATTAGTTAAGCATGACTAGTCACTTTTCAGTTGCCTACAAAAATGCTTTTAATTTTATCTTACGGATTACTTGTTTTCTGTAATGTGAATTATGTTGATGCTCTTTTAAAGAAAGTTTGTTGAAAATTTGACCAGTTGGCTCTGGACTTAGTACTACTATTTGGTGATGTTTCAGTTTTTATGCTTGGTGGGCCAAGGGTGATATCCATTTGTCGTTTTTCTTCTTTGGCTTACATGACTCTACTTATAGAGAAGTATTTGGTGGTGCATTTTCATCAAGTGTATATATTTGATTCACAGTGTACATACCTCAGCTGATAGATTGGTATCTGTACCGGTGCTACTGTTTAATCTGTTGGGTTTCCCATCCCAAATATCTTTTTATTGAATTTTATGACCTACTATTTGCTTTAACGGCTCTGTCATTCTTAATTACCTTATGCTCAATCATTCCTCTTGCAGTGAAGTTTACATTAGAGCATCTACAAAGGGTCATCCATTTACCATAAGAGAGGTCAGAGCGTCAAATATTGGCCAACTTGTGAGGATATCTGGTATTGTGACACGCTGTTCAGATGTTAAGCCATTGATGCAAGTGGCAGTTTATACGTGTGAAGACTGTGGTTTTGAGATATATCAGGTCATCTAAACTGTTAAAAAGTTGTGCTTACCATTTCTTTTTAAGAAGGATTAAAATCGATGAAATGATATCTTTCCTCATTGATGAATCGTGATTTTGCTACTGTACTATTATCACTTATGTCATTAAGTTTTTAAATTGTCTGGCCCTTCTCTCGGTATGATTTTTAGAAAGGTTTAAATTTTACTATGGCCACCTTAACTTCAACTTCTATGTCCTCCCTCTTGGATACTTCATTTCTTCACTTTCACTGATTTCTTGATTCATGTAGTCACTTTTTTGCTTCACAGGAGGTCACAGCTCGAGTCTTCATGCCTCTATTTGAGTGTCCTTCTCAGCGTTGTAGAACAAACCAAACGAAAGGCAACTTAATTCTACAACTTAGAGCATCCAAATTTCTGAAGTTTCAGGAGGTTTTAAATTAACTTCTTAAAATATTACTTCTACAATTTCATATCTTGATACATATTGGTCCTAAGGCATGACGTTGTGTCTGGTTTATAGGCTAAAATTCAAGAGTTAGCCGAGCATGTTCCAAAAGGTCATATTCCCCGATCAATGACTGTTCATCTCAGGGGTGAATTAACGAGGAAGGTTGGTTTTCTTCTAGTAAATTCTCTCTGGCATTTCTTAGCCTGGTTATGATTTTTGTTTAGTGTTGCTTATTGATCTATATCTAGCCTTAGCAACTAATGCTTGTGACCTTGAAACGCTGACTGGATCTGGCCATCATGCTGGTATAATCTTGTTTCAGTGGTTATGTCATAGTGAAACTTCAATGAATTGAGTACGAGTTTTTATAGAAAATTGAATTGTTGAAACCCAAACAAAATTTTTAAGTTTGCATTCTCTTCTTAGAGAGGAGGATTTTAATTTATGTTTCTTATCCAGTAGGCAAAAAATTTAATTTGACACCTATTCATTAATGTGTGTTGATGCAATATTTTTGCTGTATAATGGTTATATGGGAAATTTTTGTTCACACCAG